CCCCGCCTGCCTCTGCAGCAGCGCGTACTCCTGCGTGCCGGCATAGGGCTGTGACAGCGCGGGCAGGGAGGGAAGGGCGACCGCGGTGGCGGGAACTTAGAGGAAGTCTCTCCTGAGCCAGGAGACTTCCTCTAGGCCTCCGCCGCCGGTCCCGTGCCCTTCTGTAGCTAACTGACCCGTTAGTTGGAGCTGTGCTCCATGCCGGTCTCCAGGTCGCTGGCTGGATCTTTGCAGTCAGCCTGGCCTCATCTGAGGTACAGCCCTGGACCCCTCGGTGGCAACTGCTGTGGCGGGTGGCAGTGCCCGACACAGGGGCTCAGTGTAAGGTGTTATGCTTTTCCTTCCAGTTGTGCACAGCTGTACGTGACGTGCTCCTGACACTCTGGATTTATGTTAAAGTTAATCCCGGACAGTCGGGATGAGAAGAATTATAGATAGTCCAATGCAAAATTCTCAGCTCCCTTTTTCCATCTAAATGCAAGTTAGACTACAGGATAAATTCGGGATGAACAGTGCTATCTTGCACGTTTAAAAATAAGATTAAACACAGCCTTTGTATACTTGATGAAAAGTCATTGCTTTAGCTTTCCTATGTTGCTAGTACATCTGTTTACTGTGCTGTTTTCTCTTCAGCCAGTCCTGTGCAACACTGATCTTAAAATTAAATTCACAAACTCCAGACCTTTCTTTCTTAAAGTTGTTGTTCTGTATCAAGATACTTAAACAACATTAGGTTCACTATTAAATTTATAATTTAAAGCTTCTAAAAAGTCCAGTTTTAGTACTAAATACTACTGGTTTAGAATGAGCTTAATACTGTTCTCCTAGAATAATGGTGTAGGGTAGTGTGATAATCTTAAGCAGTTTAGCCTAAAGTCCTCAATTCTTGTAAGTAGTAACTCCTCCTCAGATGCAGACAAGAAAGCTCCTTAATTGTCCTGGATGAGTACTCAGCAGTACTGTCAACAGCTAATACTACATGCTTAAAAGGTAAATAAAACCTCTGATACAGTACCTGGCTAATTTTGCTGTGCTGTACAGAGTAGTAAAATCACTTCCCAAGCCCTGTTTGTTAAACCCGCAAAACCTGCGTTGATGATAAACATAAGCAAGAAAAATTAACTAATGAGGAGAAAGAGTTGCAATCTTAAAGCAGCCGAGTTCTGTTAAAGTGCCAAGTTTTTTCTATAGTTAAGTACTGTTCCTGCATCAAGAAACGGTGATGCGGACCTTTGGATTTTGCAGTGTAGTAATCAAGTAAATGTAATAGAGTACAGGTTTGTGCTTTTGCATAGGCTATCGGGCATTATTCACAAGGGGATAAAAAGAAATATACCATGTAAATTTTCAAGGTACAATCTGAAGCAACAGTTTCATTAAGAAAAAAGTCTTAGTCATAGTTTTCTGTAATGTTTATGTCTTTTTCCTCTTGTTTAAAACCCAAAAAATCTGTCTCATCTTAAGATTAGTTCCATATGTGTATTTACACATGTGTTTTTGAATCAAAAAGGGAAGGTGAAAAGCTGGCCCAGGAAGAGCTAATGTGCAATTTCAACTTTCAAACACCTGTCGGGGAAAGTGAATTAGGAAAAACTGAATTATAAGAAATGTTTGGGTTTGGTGCATTATTTTAAGAAACAAAATTGATTTTTTTTTTCTGCCTATAATTCCATTTCAGGATGTAGATAAAATGCAAGCACCAATGTCTTCAAGAATATGATCTTGAATGTTACCACAATTTTACATACTTCATGGGTTACACAAGTGACTTGTGAGGGAATGGGGACATACAGTTAGTGTGCCTGGTGCTTATACAGTGGGTTTTCTTACTCAATTAACTACCTTCCATAATCTGTGTAATTTAAGGTGTGAGGTGTATATGTGGAAGGCAGGAATTTGGGTTTTGGGAGGTGAGTCAGTATTCAAGGCATGCAGTGCGTTATAGGTGTATTTAGGCATCATCCCTCTGCTGCAGCCATTCAGACAGACTTTGAGAAGGTGCTGAACAAGCTCCCAATTAGTAAATGGGCCGTGTTCTCTGTATAAAATTTGAAAATTAACCTCACCATGAAATTGAGGGATTGTTGTTGTACCAACTGACTAGAGGGACAATGTGGGATAAGATTTGTGAGGATAGGGTCAGTAAATCATCAGTAAATCTCCCCCATGAAAACAGGTTCTTCTTATTTTAGGCCTGTTTACAAAGAAGCAGTTTTAGGCCTCAAAACTGTAGATAGGCAACAGTTGAAGACCCTTAACTGTAATGATTAAATAATGGTTTTTTATTATTATTTTGTTTTGCTACAGATTTGGAATGGAAAATAATTTATGTGGGTTCAGCTGAAAGTGAAGAGTATGATCAGGTGTTAGACTCTGTTTTAGTCGGACCTGTTCCTGCAGGCAGACACATGTTTGTATTTCAGGTAAGTTTGATTTAATGGTTTCTAAAAGGGTTGTGCTAATTTGTTTAGAGAGGACTGTTTCAAACTAACAGGCAGTTGAAAAATAATGGTAAGCTAGAAAAAAATATTTGTCAGCTCCTCAGGTGTGATACACCTGCCTTTTAAGTCTGTTCATAAGCTGATATTTCTTGCCCCTGATATTTCTTGGCATTTTTCATTGGTGGTATCAATAATTAGAGATAGTGACATAAGCACAGTTCCCACAGCTACTGATAATTTTAGCCAGTCTGGTTTGTAAATACATTCTAGATCACTCAGTAATCAACAGTGCCAATTACCTGGTTTACACCAGCACCATCAGGCTCAATGCAATTGGTGGCAGTTTCAGACAGTCAGGAGCACTAGGTTAATGTAGCCAACACTTTCAGAAGATCAGTGTAAAAGTCAGCCAGAACAATCAAGAAGTTCACTTCTATTTGGCAGGACACATGTTCAATCATGATGTTTGGCTAAGCATGCTAAATCATAACAAAATACAGTGATTTCTAAAATAAAGACAGAAATCCAGTGGTAGATAGTAGGCATTTAGGAAAAACGTGTGGATGAAGACTGTCCAACAAAGTCTAGAGAATGTGATAGTCCTATAATATACTGCTGTTAAAGCCAAAAGTTAATGAAGGGAAAGAAAACAAGGAAAGAGCAGCACTGAGATGGCTTACTAGGCTGCTCTGGTTTCCATTTTAAGTCAGGGAGGGGAAAAAACCTGAGGTGAACCTGCCCAAATTCTTACAGAAGCTTTTGTTTGTTTGTTTGTTTGTTTGGGGTAGTTTCTTTTGTGGTGGTAATTGTTTGTGGTTTGTTGTTTGTTTTTTTTTTGGTGGTGTTGGTTTTTTATTTTTTTTAATCAAACCTGTAATTTTAATTAAAACTAACACTCTTTTCCCTGTGAAATACAAGAATTTTTCTTGTAAACTGAGAGCAGAATCCATCAGATGAAAAATCAGATAGAAACTGAGTCTAAGGACCCTACTACTTTCTCAAATAGTGCAAATTCAATTAACTATTTAATGGCAGATGCATGCTGGAGGATGAGCATTAAAAAACCCAAAAGTGCTAATGAATACTTTTCTCACTATTACTGTAGCTGTTTTAAAATGCTGTAAACGTTTGTGAGGCATCTGTGAGTTCCAGGGAAGTTTTGTTTGGTTTTTATGGTTTGGGGTTTTTTTTGGTGTTTGTTTGGCTTTTTTTTTTCTGTAAAGGACAGGTTAAAGGAATAGGATTAGGCTGGAGGTTGCATTTATCAACCACATATGTGCAAATCAGTCTTGAAACATTTTTGTTTGGTTTTGGAGCCAGGCCTAATTTTTTCCACACTACAAATAAAGTAGATGTGTAACAAATGCATCATTTATTAACAGTTCTTCAATTAGCAGGTTATTATAGCTTATGGCATTAATTGGTCAGAAATAGGTGATCCTCAATTGCCCTCAAAGGGGCTACCTTGTGGTAGTGTATGCAGAGGAATCAGCTGGCATTTACATTTCTAATTTAAATGATGTTCTCAGTTACAAAGACTCATTGTTGATGGTGATGGGAAGGAGCAGGAAGCAGGTGCCTAAAAAGGCATGTTTTGGCTGTATGATTAGGAAGGTCTCAAAAACTAAATTTACTGGTCTGGCGGTTTATGTAGAATGGAGTCAGTAATTGTATCCTGGTTATAAATGACACTACAGCTAAATTAGGAGGAGATATGTAGACACCTTGCTTAGATTCTAGCAGGTCCTGTAAGAGATTCCTTCTGTGATATATTAAAGTATCCCTTTTATTTCTTACGGAAGTACCCTTGGTCTGAGTGTATTATGCTTCAAAAGCTCTGGATTGCAAGTGAGGGTAGGGCTGAGCTAGTGTGTACACAGGAGACCACCAAAACCCAAAGTGCTGCAAGAAGCCTTTGCTGATGACTGAAGCCATTTTATTCACCAAACTGAAGCAGCCTGGAATATGGAGAGATCAAGCAAGGGAAGGCGAGAATGGGGCAAGGCACAGAACTGCAGGAGGCACGTAATATAAAGAAAAGAGATTGTGTTCACCAGGGACTGCATAAGGAAAGGACCTTTGCAGAGGTGTATAAAATTTTCAGATAATATACTTTAGATTTTTCGAGATAGGAAAATGGCTGAAATAGCAACTAAAATGGAGTACCACACAGACAGAATACCAAGGATGATAAAACCACCTTAGTTGAAAAGAAGCTGTGTATCAGGTTGGGAATTCAGCCTTACATACAGAAAGATGGAAAATTATTGTGCTTTACAGACTGACACAAGCAGCTCCCCCTTTTCTTTTTTTTTTTTAACCATTTAAAAATGTTTCAATAGTAAAGGCCCACAGCTTGACCTATTTATTTCTAAATGCCAAGATATACATAGTGAAATCTGGTTCCTTCTCTCTATGAATGTGGGTATTTGTAATAAAATCACAGAAACTTCGTTTTTTGAGAATACAAGCACATAAATAATTTACTGTCTTTAAGTGGGGATATGACCTTTGCTGCCTACTCTGCAGTAATAACTATGTTTTGTGGAAAAGCAAGATAACTTGAGAACATACACATTGAGTGATTTCATAAAACTCTTAAGTAATTTATAGCATAAGAATGGAATATTAAGACTGATTTTTATGCAAAAAATAACCTACTGCCTCTCTTTGCCCAAATATCAAGCATATATATATATATATATAAATATATATATAACAAATACCAAAATATCTTTTTTTCTTCCACCTTTGTATGATCATTTGGTTCCTGAGCAATTAAGAGCTTTGACATCAAAGGTGGGAAGTTCAAAATTTGAGAGAACTCTTTTAAACAATCTTCAGTGTCTTTTCCATGCAGCAAAACAATGCTGGAGAGATAAGAAGGATTAGAACAGAGTATTTCCTTGGTTTCAGAACTGTGTTATGGGATATTACAAGACAGGAAATGACAGTGGGAACCTGGAAAACTAAAGTCCTACATTAGGGTGTGAGTTTCACAGGGAGATAAACTGAACAGTGTCCATTACTGTAGAATTTAAAGTAATCAAATGCTTCTGGGCACAGAACAAGATTATTGAATTAATATAGTGATTTAATCTGTATTGGCAGTTCTTTTAATTTCCTCAAGCTTCTGTGCTTGTCCTGTTCCTTCCAGACATCTTTTCCATATCCATATGCAAGTTGTAAAGCCATTTGGCCATTTTCTATTTACTTCAGGGCTGGAGGAAGTTGTGTTCTACTTGGTTCCCTGGTTTCTTCTCCTCTCTCTGGTGTCTTTCTGCCTGAGAGGTCTGATCATCTAATCCTTCTGCAAAGTATCTACAGCTTCTTACAAAGAGCAAGACTGCTTTGAAGGCTTAGAATTGAAGTTGCAAAGAGTAGAAGCCAATGCTGCATGAGCTGTAGCTCCCAAATTTCACTGTGCTGGAGCATATAAATACTACAGAAAAGTAGGGATGAGAGGGACATCAGGAATTAATTCCATTCATCCTCTGTCCCTAGGCAAGGTTTGTTACACCCAAACCATTTGAACACACCTTATTAATACCAACTTGTTCTTGCAACCTGGGTGTTTGTTATTAACTTCAGATCTTCACATAAAATTGTAAATATGAAGTGTTTCACTATGCCTTGATTGCTGTTATTTTAAATCCCGCAGCAGAATGAGGCAGCACATTTAATCAATAAATGTCGAGTTAGGAAGCATTTTAAGGAACTGATGTGAGCCACATTTTACAAGGCAAATTTTATTGAAAAAAACCTGCAGAGATGTAGTAAGTAGGGACATTGAGGAAGATCACTTGAGTTGCCTATTAATTAGGTTTGCGTATTGGCTGAAAATGTCAGGTGTCTTGGAGAGATGATGCATTTAACTGCATAAATTTTAACAAACGTAGCTATTAGGAAAGAGGCGAGAGAAAGTAGTTTATTCCTTTCCTAGAAGTCTGTGGGACAGCTCAAACCTCACCATAGCCCATTTCTGTAGTTTTAAAGATTCAGTCTTGTTAAAAACACACATATAGACCAAATCAATCTTGAGGGTGTAAAAGAAAATAATCTTGCTCTAATGAATTACCAAGATGGGCTGAAGAACCATAGCACTGTAGAATTGGAGTGATATTAGTACACCTGCTCAAACAATGGTTCAGCTGATTTTTATTATTTTTTTTTTTATTTAAAAGCAGTTTGGGATCTAACTTGCCTAATCGCCCATGAGAAATGTCAGACAACAACATTACTGTACTCTACGTAATTCTGTCTCTACAGGATAGTGTCCTAAATCTAGGGTTGATGTTGTGAAAGCAGGTATATTTTCTGGTTAACTTGAACAATTTTAAATATAGTCACTACTCAGCTGCTAAAACATACTGTTTAAGATTCCCCTGCTAGAAAGTCACGTAGTATCAATTTTATTTTAATTTATCTTTCCCTTTCACATTTAGGCTGATGCACCTAACCCAGGGCTTATTCCAGATGCAGATGCAGTAGGTGTAACAGTTGTGCTAATTACATGCACTTACCGAGGTCAAGAATTTATTAGAGTTGGCTACTATGTAAACAATGAATATACTGAAACAGAACTGAGAGAGAATCCACCAGTAAAGCCAGACTTTTCTAAGGTAAGGCATGTTTTGTTCTAGTCATATATCAGAGGTATGCTTAGACGTTTTTAAGAAACAAAAGCAAACATCAAGTGATTTCATAAAGTGCATGGAATAAGGCATTAAATAATGGAAAAAACTTGGGGAAACAAACTACAAGTACCATGTAGTTGTCATAAATTTGGATAATGCTGAGAAACCATCAACAGTTTCCACCATCTTGAAAACTTGGCTGCACTTTCAGGCCGACTGTGTGAAATAAACTGTTGGATTTATTTCTACCTGCACCAGCATTGACAAAGTGGCTCTTTTCTTCAAAAAAAGAGAATAATGCTTTTCTAGGCCCATCAGCCAGGAACTAAGTAGTAGATATTAATTTACCAGAGTTGTTACCCAGCTGTTCTAGTGTCAGAGCTGCAGTTTCTGCAAAACTGAAACAAACAAAAAAACCTGAAGAACAAGTTAGGTGTAAAATGAGAGAAGATGGGTAACCTGGTTGGATGATTATCCAATGAATGGACAACTTGACAAAGGAAGTATGCAGATTAAGTTTTAAAAAAAAAGATATCCTTCATGGTAACAATTAGCCCAGGACTAGAATGAAAAACTGAAATGAAATAGTATGTTTTTCTATGCTTAACTTAATTTTCAGGGATCAGATAGTCAATATGTTCTCAAAATTACATTTCCTTTTATTTTGAGGATTCTTGAACTTTTGATATCTTCCTTTCTTTTTTCTTTCTTTCATTTAAGTCATAACATGTTGGTTGTAAATGCCAAAAGGTGGCTTCTTTTAAGCACTTGAATTTAAAAATGCCTAGAACTACTTGTCTTCATTCTCTGCTTATATAAAAAGCTAGATTTGCTCCTATAAAAAAGAACAGCAAAAGCTAGCATGTTTATATAAGAAGTCCCCCTCAGAGTAGAAGCACACAAGGAGAAGGTTAATAAATTAATTGGTGGTAATAAACCCTACTAGGTTTTAAAAAAGTAGCGATCTTGGTAGTTTGCATGAGGGATTGGAAAATACTTAATGAGAGCATACTTTCTAGGAGAATAAAATCAACAAAGCAGACTTTTCCTGTTATCAGTCTTAACTTTCATAACGAGTATTCAGTGGTGATAACTTGCCATCCTCTAGGTAACTATGATCTTTTACCCCTCTCAAGATAAAGAGAAAATGAGCATTTTTTTTGCTGCATAAATAAACAAGTGCAATGTGTTTTCAAAAGAAAATGAAGTCCAGCATGAGAATAAAATATATAACTAATCATGTCCACTGCCACAATGTTAGTATCTCCCAAATCTAAGTAATGTTTTTACTTTTACTTGAAAACTTTAGTAGATAAATCTACTTAGTGAAATCAGTCTAATGTTTGCTAACTTAAGGATAGGTTGTACTCTTAAATGAAGATGGGGAGTTGATGGAATTGATAGTTATTGCAAATACTGGAAAATTGATGCAAAATTTTATGAGTACAGTAGTTTGCAGAATCTTTAAGGAGTAAAAGTAATTTCCTTTACTAAAAGCTGGATAAAATAATAAACACTTGCACTTTATTTGTGGAGCTCTTGCACAGCCTTGAACACATGGAGGAGTTAAAATATCCTCCTAAGAAAGCAGTTCTTTTGCTGAGCAGGATATTAGAGTAAATGACTAAGTAATGTGTACTGTAAGTGCATTTCTGATCCACAGGTAGTAGCTATATATTCACATTTATATAAATTCCCTTTTTAAACAAATTGTTTTACACAAGCAAGACTATGGGGAGTAAAAGGAAAAAAATCTATATGCATGTGAACTCCCATTTGAGATGTACATATTACAATCCATATATTTTCTTCTTTCCCAGCTTCAAAGGAATATTTTGGCATCTAATCCCAGAGTCACAAGATTCCACATTAACTGGGAGGACAACACTGAAAAACTGGAAGATGCAGAGAGCAGTAACCCAAATCTACAGTCTCTGCTTTCCACAGATGCGTTACCTTCAGCATCAAAGGGATGGTCAACATCAGAAAATTCACTAAATGTTATGTTAGAATCTCATATGGACTGCATGTGACTAACCACCATCGTTTTGGTACTGTATATGTGTTAAACTGTAAAAACAACCAGAACTATTTCCCTCAAATTCCATAAGTACATAGTTTGATGAGCAATGTGAAGAACTTGTTTTAAAACATCCTGTAGAAAGTTTATAAAAAAAACCAAAAAAACCAACAAACAAACAGTATTTGAGCAAATTGTGGAATATAAATACAACTATTTTTAAGTAATTGCCTTTTTTTCTAATGTGTTATTCTATGTGGTCTGAACCAAACCTGATTAAAGTATATGTATTCTCCCCCCTCCCCCTTTACTTTGTAAGCACTATTAAAAGCTAAAAAAAAAAAGTTTAAAGGTTAAAACATTCAGGCAGAATGAAGGAATAATGCCATGTCCTTGTCTCTGATACCCAGATTGCCAAATATAAACTGCCCTTTAATAGCAGCTTAAGAACAAAACTGTCATTAGATGAAGTGCAAAGAAAAAAGTATCTCTGATTAAAAAAAAAAAAAAAAAGACCAAAAATGTCCTTTTGCTCTAAAAGCAGACAGCACAGTATAATTTTAGGTGCAAGATTCTTTTTTTTTTTTTTCAAGGCACATACTTGTTACTTAAAGCATGCAATTTGAGATTTACCATCTGCTATTTTGGATTTTAGGACTTTTTTTTTTTTTTTAAATCTCCTCCTGCTGCTCTTTAGTCAAACAGTGGTTTGTTCAGGACAGTATTTTGTGGGGATTTGAGTGGGTATCTCAGGAAAGAACCCTTTTTCAGCCACCCTAATAGCAATTGGTTGGAAGGATGCAAGCAATTACTAAAAAGTTCTAAGTGTGAAAAGCAATGGTGTGAGTATCCCAAAAATGGTCTTCTGTAAGATTATTATGTACCACTGCTGGTTGGTATGGTTATTTTCAGGTATGCTTTGTTCTTGTAGTCTTTTTCACTAGTAATAAGGAGTTTAGATGTTGTCTTTCATTTTTTTTGAAACGCCTGGAATTGAAAACTTCTGTTTTCTCTCTACTGTTTAAGGCAACCCTATGCACTGGTATAAATCAAGATTCAAATCCTGTTGTGGCAGGCAGAATACATTACTTGCCCTGAAGCTCTTGCACTGAGATGTCCCTATTACCTGAGGCATCCTTGAAGACAGATACAAAGAACTAAGCAGTAAACTGCAAAGACTTAAGACATCATTATGACACTAACAATTTAGTTATTCTTCCAGTCCTCATTAGCTTTATACATATACTCTTGACAGTATGTGCATTTACATTTTAATCTGTCATGCCAGATTACAGGAATATAATTCTGCTAGTTACAAGTAACCGCCCAAACTGTGAACCCTTGTAGGTTCCAGGCCCTTCAAAAAAAGGTAGATTTCATGATGACTGACAGTAGAGCTCTGAATAAAAATAGAATGCTTTCTCTTCTCTTTCTGCATTCTCTAATGTGGATGAAGATGTGCCAGGCAGTTAGTGCTTCTGTCTTTCCACATTGTTAGTGAAATTATCTTCATTTTGAACATGTATATTTTTTTATATTGGAAAGGAGTTATCTGAATGTACATGCATATGGAAGCTCAGCAGTACATAGGGTAGCTGAATGAATTACTGAAATCCATTAATATTTGGAACCATAGTTCTAATGTGTGCTCCTAAAAATCTCTCTGTAATTGTTTAAAATGATGACTAGCAATTTAAAAGTATTAACACTGTAATATTGGTATGACTTAACAGAATTGGTTCCCTAAACTAACAGTTGTTTCACTTGAGGGCTGAAGTTCTGTGAACTTTTAAGAAAGGTCTTTGGTTTTCAATTATATTGCAACTTTCAGGTCTGTAGTGACATTTTGAGATTTTTCATGCACTTTATTGTTCTATTTATAACTCTATTTTAAAGATATATCTTAAATGTAAGCATGTAAATAACTTAGTCATCTGCTGAAGCACTGATGGGCTTGTGAAGTCTGCCTTGAACTTAGGCTACAGTAGTAGCATTTCAAACTCTTGCACCTATTGAATATTCAAATGAAAACATGATCAAGTACAAGCTTTAACCAGAATCTATCCATCAGTAGCATAAAGGCTTCTTAGAAGCCTATGCCACAAAGTGATGAAAGCAGAACCTATTGCTGCTATTGCAAAATCAGCTACAAAATATATAGTCTCACCCAGCAAACCCATTAATTTAGAGAAATTGGAAAGTGAAGCTCTGTTGTTCTGTTAAGGAGCAAAAGAGTCAACTGTGCACATGAACTTGGGTGCAATAAACTTGAAGCTCAACTGTATGGCAGATGCTGCAGTAGAATTTGGCACTACCTTAGCCGACACACTAACATGTCCTATATATAGCTGACCCATCAGTTACAGGAGAAAGAATACTGTGCTTGGTGAAAATTGGAGAGGAACAACCCTACCTCATCATCTTTGCAAGATAAATGGCTTTTCTATGCCTTTTGAGAGGCTGGATGCCTTTCAGATCTTCTACAACTCTGTCCACATCTTAGCAATCCATACACACTGCCTTATGAATATCATGTTTCCTGTTAAAAATCATAATCCAGATGCATGGAATTTGAGAAACCAAGTTCCAGTATTCCACAGGCTTCAGGCAATATCACAGCACAAACTTAGTGTTATTAAAAGGTAGAGTGCATGTAGGGCATCTGTAAAGACCTATCCATGATCTCTGTAAGTTTTCAAGCAGCAGGGTTGTCCATATGACACACAGCCATTGCTGACAGCACAGCACTAGAATTTCAAGGTTGAAGATGAATTCGCTTTCCCACGAACTTCTACTCGCAGAGACCACCAAGATACGAGGAAGTGCTACAGAGTCTATTGACAGGACTGGTGATGCATCTTGGTGTATTTTTACCTCAGACAGATAGCTAGTTTCATTAGAAGACTGTCATAATGCTTATCAGAGGTTAGTCATGTACAAAGAAGTAAGTGGATCAGACAAGGTAACATTATGGATGAAAAACAGGAGTGGGGTTTTTATGTCTAGCTTGAAAAAAATTGTCCATCTTACTGTGATTTATTCAGGTGTCACCTTCAGTCTGAATTTCTATGACACTTAAGTTTGATGGGGGCAAAAAGGCTCCAGCTCCATCATAGTGGTGAAAATTTCAGTGGCTTTTACAAAGCCAACCCTTATTACCAATCTTCAACAGCACAGCAACTCAGAACTTTGCTAAAATAAACACAATAACTTAGTTTATAGCCTTGCCAGACAATCTGTTCTTGAGATGTGAGTGACAAAGTCACAAAGAGAAATCTGGTATTTGACAGTCCATTATTTTCTTTGTAGTGCCTCAACTGCTGGTTTTCTGGAAGTCAGTTCAGACTAGTCTAGACTAATACTGTCCATGCCATCTGAAAATGCTGCAGGGAAGAAAAAGGAAAAACCCAAAATGTACTATGCACATCCACTCCTGGCAAATCTTCATTTACCAGAGACAAAAAAAGAGTAAAGTTAACTAAATCTTGTGACTTCTGTCTGGACAGCTGCAGGAGATCCTTCACATACTTAACTACCCTACTCCTTATCCATAGCACGATGGTCTGCAAGCTTACAGATTATCTCATATTTTGAGAGCCACAGAAGTTTGGTCTGAAGATGATGGGTTAATTGTTGCTGTGGTGGGTAGCTGGGGAGCTCTGCTCAGTGCCAGCCAGGAAGATGCTGCAAACCTGACAACTGTGTATCAGCATTGGCAGTGTGTGTGGGACTATTCATGCTAGGCCTTCCTATTTGTGTTTCTGTTTCCAGTTACAGTTCTCTTTTTAAGAGCTGGTCTTGTAGTGTGTGATATGAAAACTGGGCTGGAGAAGATGGGTGGAGGGATTTTTTCTTAATTTTTGGTCTAGGCAGTGAAGACAATCTAAGGAAGAAAAGCCAGCTGGAGGCACTACAGACGCTTTATTAAAGGCCAAACCCAGGCTTCTACATGGAACTTGACAAGCAAAGGCTCTTTCAAGAGGAGATGGAGGGAGGATACACTTGAACATTTCCAGCTTTACCTAAAGCTTTTTTGGAGGCATGGCTGGGTACTCACTGTCTGTAAGATAAAGGTGTGACTGGCCTATCTGCAGATAGGGAAAATCAGAGGTGTGTGCACTGCATGAGACAACAGCTACGAGTCAACAGCAGTGTTAGAACTAGCTGAAATGTCAGGAACTTTTAGGGAGTTGTTGGGGTCTCCATCCAAAACTTTCCTGGACTATGAGATAAGGAAGCCTACTTTTCAAAATAAGGGTGTTCTTCAGTTTGTCCCATCTCACGAGAAAGGTGGGGCAGACCTACTCTGATCCAAACTGGAAAGAAGCAGGGACTTCATGGTGCAGTAGAGGGAATCCTGAAGACATCTGATATCCATCCAGAAATCAACTGAAATGCCTGCCATTTCAACAGCAGGATGAATAAGTCTGATGAAGGCTGGCCTGGATGTGTGAAAGACCTGAAACCTTCAGCCAACACGATGAAGTTGCTGCACTGCTCCTGCAATATTTGCCATCCATCCTAACTATAGGTCTTCAGGTACAGATGTATGAACAGACCAAAATTTTTGAAGACAGGTATATACTTGGCTAAATAATCCCTGGCATGCAGGAGGTGAAGGTAAGCTGTCTCAGGACAAAGCCATCTTGGAGCAGCATTACTGGGAGGTAATTAAGGGATTTTAAGAATCTGCAATAGATGAGACATTGTTACAGATGGAACATATCTGACGGTGTTTGATCACAAGTTCAAATTTTATTCCTGCAGGAAGTCTAGCAGACTTCCTACAGAGTTAAGGCCTCTTCAACTTGAGGCCCAACTGTTGATGGAACAGCCAATGAAGCCATGCTCTCAGGAAAATATTTTCAAGGTACATGCTGATAGAAAATACTTCAAGTTCATGTACAATTATAACTGTTCAGGAAAACAATCCCCTGGTGGAAGTGAAGATCAGAGAAGAGTGGCCTAAAGGCTGCATCTGTATTAATAACTTTATCAGGGACAGGGAATGAATCTACAGTGGAAAACTGTTCCCTGCCACTGCCTTGGCTTGTAGCAACTTGGGAATGCCCAGGGACAGTTTGGGATCTACAAAGAGGGAAAAATATCTCCAGTTTCAGTGTCTTGCATACCTCAGGATACTGACACCATGTACTCTATTTATAACCACAGCTGGATGGCTCATGTCAGCCACTTTGGATTGGTTTCTAATGGATCAGAGGAGAGACAGCCTTTAGCACCTGAAGACTGCCTAGCAGGGCGACGCTTACTATGACAGAAAAAAAAGAAGAGGTGGTTTCCCCTGGAGTCAGTTCCCTTCAATGAAAAGAAAGAAAATCGGTAGCAAACTGCTGTTGGCATGATATGGACAATCTCACACAGTGCAAAATGTCAGCAAAAAGGCAGCACTCACAAGGCTCTGCAGAGGCTGTAAGAGGAAAGGCAACAAGGCTGCATTTCATACAGCTCAGAAAGGCATGTTATACAAAACTGGAGAGCTGGAGAAACAGCTGATAGTCTCCCAGACTTTTAAGCAGGCTGTTTTAAATACAGTTCACAAAATTATTTAAGCAGTCCATCTGTGGAGGGACGTAACACCAAACGAAACTTTCAGAAATGTGAACGACCAAATATGCACCAAGAAGCAGCAGAATGACTGGCCCAGATGTCCCTGAGCTCCAGACCTGCCAGAACAGGCATGTGTTGGTTCCTGTCCCTATGGAGTTGAACATACCAGTCAATCACTGCAGATCTCAAACTCCAGGGTAAATGAAGTATTTTCTTACTAGTGATCATCTCATCCAAATATGCATAAGCAGTGCTATGGCTCTGGGGACTGCAAAACAGCTGGTTAAACTCAGTAGTAAGGTGAGAACCTACAGAGAGAGTTTGTTAAGCCTCACTAAGTCTCTATGGAAAACTATGTATCAATTTCTAAAAATAAAAGGAAGCTGAACGACTCTCTGTGATTCTCAGAAGAGAGACTAGCTGGGAAGAATGAAACAGGCCTTTGAAAAAACAGTGTAGACAGAACCAAACAGTGAGACAGATGGTTACCCCATCTTTTATTTACAAATCAGAAAGTCCTACACTGGTCAAATAAATTTCTGGAGTTGTTGCATGTGGGCTGGTCTTCTAGCTGCCAACTCTCATTAAAGAGATTTGCGGGAAAAAACCCAGGTTCCTCACTGAAGTCCTAAACCCGTAGAAAACTCAACAGAAAATTTCTACTAAGTGCTTGCAAGAAAGGCAACCTAATAAAACAAGTAAACTCAGAAACATATTCACTGCGTGGAGGTAAAGTTCTATTTTTTCAAAACAGAGAATAGATTATTGGTCATTTGTAAGGGCTGTTTGCAGCAATAAGGCAGCTTGAGCCTGTCGGTGAGATAGGAAGATGAAGGTCTTCCAGATCTTCAGCAAGAAAGC